CCAACTAGTTCACTGAATGTTCTAGGCAGGAAGTAGTAGTAGAAGTCACTCATCGCAAATGCCATTGAAGATGTATATTACTTACTCAGACTCTTCTTTCTTCTCCCCAAACACCTGGTATTTCTTTTCAAATCTGGTGGGTTTTCCAAGCTTCCGAACACTGAAAATGAAAAGATAACATCTGTTAAGTGTGAACTTGTGCAGTTGGGACATTTCAGAGCACCACAGCCCAAGTTCAAGTAACAGGATCCACAAACACAATTTTTCATTCACTTTAAAAAAAAAAACTGATTTCACTTTAAAACTAACCCATGATCTGTCCATTCTCCCTTACAGGGTTATTCACTAAAGTGATAATTGCAGGGAATTTCACATTTAAGGTAAATATAGCTGAACCAGAAAAACTCTCCCACTCAGCTATACTTTCAGCTCGGCTACTTTGGCCTTAAATTTGAACTTCAACAATTCTCACTTTAGTGAAAAACCCTTATAGACTCTTGATCATGTTTCCGGTATAATCTGCTTATCCAACCTGAATCTCCAGCCAGTCAGAATCTTCATTTCCAACCTGAATCTCTAGCCCGTCAGAATCTTCATATCCAATCTGAATCTCTAGCCAGTCAGAATCTTCATATCCAACCAGAATATCTAGCCAGTCAGAATCTTCATATCCAACCTGAATCTCCAGCCAGTCAGAATCTTCATATCCAACCTGAATCTCTAGCCAATCAGAATCTTCATATCCAACCTGAATCTCTAGCCAGTCAGACTCTTCATATCCAACCTGAATCTCTAGCCAGTCGGAATCTTCATTTCCAACCTGAATCTCTAGCCAGTCAGAATCTTCACATCCATCCTGAATCTCCAGCCAGTCGGAATCTTCATATCCAACCTGAATATCTAGCCAGTCAGAATCTTCATATCCAACCTGAATATCTAGCCAGTCAGAATCTTCATATCCAACCTGAATATCTAGCCAGTCAGAATCTTCATATCCAACCTGAATCTCTAGCCAATCAGAATCTTCATATCCAACCTGAATCTCTAGCCAGTCGGACTCTTCATATCCAACCTGAATCTCTAGCCAGTCGGAATCTTCATTTCCAACCTGAATCTCTAGCCAGTCAGAATCTTCACATCCATCCTGAATCTCCAGCCAGTCGGAATCTTCATATCCAACCTGAATATCTAGCCAGTCAGAACCTTCATATCCAACCTGAATCTCTAGCCAGTCAGAATCTTCATATCCAACCTGAATATCCAGCCAGTCAGAATCTTCATATCCAACCTGAATCTCTAGCCAGTCGGACTCTTCATATCCAACCTGAATCTCTAGCCAGTCGGAATCTTCATTTCCAACCTGAATCTCTAGCCAGTCAGAATCTTCACATCCATCCTGAATCTCCAGCCAGTCGGAATCTTCATATCCAACCTGAATATCTAGCCAGTCAGAACCTTCATATCCAACCTGAATCTCTAGCCAGTCAGAATCTTCATATCCAACCTGAATATCCAGCCAGTCAGAACCTTCATATCCAACCTGAATCTCTAGCCAGTCAGAATCTTCATATCCAACCTGAATATCCAGCCCGTCAGAATCTTCATATCCAACCTGAATCTCTAGCCAGTCAGAATCTTCATATCCAACCTGAATCTCTAGCCAGTCAGAATCTTCATATCCAACCTGAATATCTAGCCAGTCAGAATCTTCATATCCAACCTGAATATCTAGCCAGTCAGAATCTTCATATCCAACCTGAATCTCCAGCCAGTCAGAATCTTCATATCCAACCTGAATCTCTAGCCAGTCAGAATCTTCATATCCAACCTGAATATCCAGCCAGTCAGAATCTTCATATCCAACCTGAATCTCTAGCCAGTCGGAATCTTTATATCCAACCTGAATATCTAGCCAGTCAGAATCTTCATATCCAACCTGAATATCCAGCCAGTCAGAATCTTCATTTCCAACCTGAATATCTAGCCAGTCAGAATCTTCATATCCAACCTGAATCTCTAGCCAGTCAGAATCTTCATATCCAACCTGAATATCTAGCCAGTCAGAATCTTCATTTCCAACCTGAATATCTAGCCAGTCAGAATCTTCATTTCCAACCTGAATCTCTAGTCATTCAGAATCTGCATATCCAACCTGAATCTCTAGCCAGTCGGAATCTTCATATCCAACCTGAATCTCTAGCCAGTCGGAATCTGCATATCCAACCTGAATCTCTAGCCAGTCAGAATCTTCATATCCAACCTGAATCTCTAGCCAGTCAGAATCTTCATATCCAACCTGAATCTCTAGCCAGTCAGAATATGCATATCCAACTTGAATTTCTAGCCATTCAGCCCTAGACTTTGCGACTTTCCCCTATTTTTGTCTATTCACACTGATAACCTATTTATGCTGATACCCATGTAACGTTTCAATAATTCAAAGACTTCAGGATCTTCCAAACCACTCATAGAATCTGTTCATTCAAAATGGGAAGCTGTATGCATTTGGTTCAGTGGTTCAGAGCTAACAAATACTATGCTGGTGGCTGCTACACAAAACTTTGAATATTCCCGCTTTCGTAAGATGTAGTGCACTGCAGAGCAAAGACAAAAGTCTATTGACACAGAATTACAAGCCTCCACTGATTTTGGCTTCTCCCTGCCACCCAAAGGCAGGGAGAAGAAAAATGAGACATAAAGAGCATGTTACAGATGTTAAAATAAAACTAGAACAAAAAAACTAGAATTAGGATTTAGAAATGTGCCCCATGCAGATGGGCAGGACTACCAATGTTGCAAACCACCAGGAACATTTCTGGTGTACCCCATAGCCACTCTGGGTCAGAACTCAGATGTGAAGTGTACAGTGCCATCTTCATAGATTCTAGCTTATCTAGTGATTTCATATATTTGAGGAGCATAAAAATGCTCTTATTTCACCACCTCATTGTCCTAATTGGTCATATGAAGTAGATTTAAGCAAAGATTTGTTTCAGCCTATTTATCCAAATCAAATTCCTTTTAATCCGAATGAATTGGTCACTCCAGGATTCAGTTGTGGTATCAATGAATACGATTACACAGGTAAATCAATTTTTTTTTTGTTTGGATGTGGATCAAAAGTTATTTGATTTGGATGAGCCGGACAAAGTAAATTTTTGCACAAGTGTAATTTGAAGGAGTATATGAACTCCTGTTTGAATGGAACACCAAACCTTTTTTGAGGATGAAAATATTGACAAAAAAATGATTGAGTAAAACAATTCTCTTACCTCAAAGTAACAAATTTTGGGGTGGATGTATCCAGATCTCTCTTGATGCCTTTTCTTTTGCTTGAGCGGCCACTAACAGGCGGAGATGGTGGATGTGGAGCTATGGGAACATTTGGCCGTGACACTGAAGAAGTGAGAAATATGATAAAACAGAATTTTGATTATATTTAATAGATTTTATCTAATAATCTCTGTGTCCTGATTTTCCTCCGCCAGGTATTATAGGTTAGGGTGGATTGAATGAACTCATGACATATATAATTAGAAAAAAATCTGGGTCTGGTAATGTGAAGGGCCCTTATTGAGTCACTTAATGGACAGACTAGCTAAGCAATATACATTTTCAAGGCTAAATAGGGCTTTCTTACCTCCTGCGACAGGCTGATGTTTACTTCCATCATCAGAATCAAGCAGTGAATCTCCTGTTTTTTGTGATCTGGAGATAAGTGATTGGAAAATGTAAAATTATTCTAATAAGTTCTGGGTAGACCAGCCGTTTGTCTGTTAATTACGGCTTTTTGGAAGTAGATCTTTCACCTTTTCAGATTTCCTAACATTTAATCCCAGCTATCTATCACAGAGACAGTAAGCTTTCTTATTGTATATCGGGGATGCATTTATCGACACAAAAATGTTGATTCTTTCTCATTATTAAGTGTTAATGCTAAGCATGCATTCAGCTGCCATTTCCATCTGATGGGCAGTTTATTCAGATTTGCTTTGAGTGGAAGGAACGGACGATAGTTCTATTTGTCAGTGAAGCATTGCTCTGAATTCAATACCCCTGAGCAGGGGAACAAATCCTACATTTCTTCACCAATCACCAAGTTATAACATGCCTTTTTCTTACGCTGCCTTCTAAAATCAAGGCTATCTTCCATCTATCACATGTCCACTTCCTTGCTTATTTATTTTATTACTGGCATTTATAAAGCGCCAACTTATTCCGTAGTGCTGTACAATTGGGAAAGACAACACAATAAGAACATAGCGATACAACAGGGAGAGGGCCCCAGGGCCGCCATCAGGGGGTGACAACCATGATTGGGTGTTGTATTAGTGTATGCAGTGTGTGTGTTGTATTAGTATATGCAGTGTGTGTGTGTTGTGTTAGTGTATGCAGTGTGTGTGTGTTGTATTAGTGTATGCAGTGTGTGTGTTGTGTTAGTATATGCAGTGTGTGTGTGTTGTGTTAGTGTATGCAGTGTGTGTGTGTTGTATTAGTGTATGCAGTGTGTGTGTTGTGTTAGTGTATGCAGTGTGTGTAAATGGGCAATCTAGGGGAGGAGGGGAGGAAGGGGGAATTTTCACATTAATTTTATATTAAATTAATTAAATGTTTCTCCACCGTCCCTGCTTCTTACCTGTGTCCAGGGAAGGGGGAGATTCCATCCCTGGTGGTCCGGTGGCATGGTGGGGCCCCGGCTCCCTGTTACCGCAGAGGAGGCCCAGCACACTACCTCTTCTCTTCTCCTCTCGCGAGAGTTATTGGAAGAGAAGAGGAGATGCAGTGTGCTGTTCTCCCCTCTGCGGTAACAGGGAGCCGGGGGCCCGTGGCTGCACACATAGATAGCGATATTCGCTATCTATGTGTGCAGAGAGGGAAATTGTGGCCCTGGACTGCCAGAGCAGTCCGGGACCCCTCAGGACCGCCAGCAGTGTGCCTAGCTCCCCTCTCTGCGTTAACAGGGAGCCGGGGGCCCGTGGCTGCACACATAGATAGCGATATTCGATATTCGCTATCTATGTGTGCAGAGAGGGAAATTGTGGCCCTGGGCCAAAATTTCCCTCTCTGAACACCCAGTCCAGGGCCACAATTTCCCTCTCTGCACACATAGATAGCGAATATCACTATCTATGTGTGCAGCCACGGGCCCCCGGCTCCCTGTTACTGCAGAGGGGAGCCCAGCACACTGCTGGTGGTCCTGGGGGGGCCCGGACTGCTCTGGCAGTCCAGGGCCACAATTTCCCTCTCTGCACACATAGATAGCGATATTCGCTATCTATGTGTGCAGCCACGGGCCCCGTGGCTCCCTGTTACCGCAGAGGGGAGCCCAGCACACTGCATCTACTCTTCTCCTCTCTTCTCTTCCAATAACTCTCATGAGAGGAGAAGAGAAGAGGCAGTGTGCTGGGCCTCCTCTGCAGTAACAGGGAGCCTGGGCCCCACCATGCCACCAGACCACCAGGGATGGAATCTCCCCCTTCCCTGGACACAGGTAAGAAGCAGGGACTTGGGAGAAACATTTAATTAATTTAATATAAAATTAATGTGAAAATTCCCCCTTCCTCCCCTCCCCCCCTAGATTGCACATTTACACACACACTGCATACACTAACACAACACACACACTGCATACACTAATACAACACACACACACTGCATACACTAACACAACACACACACAGTGCATACACTAACACAACACACACACACTGCATACACTAATACAACACACACTCTGCATACACTAACACAACACACACATGGCATACACTAACACAACACACACATGGCATACACTAACACAACACACACACACACACTGCATACACTAATACAACACACACTTTGCATACACTAATACAACACACATACACTGCATACACTAACACAACACACACTCTGCATACACTAACACAACACACACTCTGCATCCACTACACACTAACACACTCACTGCATCCACTACACTGACACACACTCTGCATTCGCTACACATTAACACACTCTGCATTCAATACACTAACACACACACTGCATCCGCTACACACTAACACACTCTCTGCATTCACTACACATTAACACACTCTGCATTCACTACATTAACACACACACTGCATCAGCTACACACTAACACACTCTCTGCATTCACTACACATTTACACACACTCTGCATCCGCTACACACTAACACACTCTCTGCATTCACTACACATTAACACACACTCTGCATTCACTGCACTAACACACACACTACATTCATTACACTGACACACTCTGCATTCACTACACACTAACACACAATTTGCATTCATTACACACTAACACACACTCTGCATTCACTACACTAACATACACTCTGCATTAAAAGACCACTATAGTGCCCTGAGGGTGACCCCATGTTTATAGAAAAAAGAGTTAACCCTAGCTGGACCTGGCACCCAGACCACTTCGTTAAGTTGAAGTGGTCTGGGTGCCTATAGTGGTCCTTTAACTGTACACACAGAACCCACTACACAAACATCCTGTATTCACAGTACACACACTACATCCACCACAAACTGAAACACTCTACATTCACTATACACAGACACTGCATCTAATACACACACTACATCCACTACAGACACTACATCCACTAAACACATTTCATCTAGTACATACAAACACTACATCCACTACACAAACACACAATACATCACTGTACACACACTACATCCACTACTCAAACACACTCTGCGTTCACTATACACACTGCATCCGCTACACAAACACACACTCTGCATTCACTGCACAAACAGTATCTAATACACACAAACACTACATCCATTACACACATTCTAATTCACTTCCACTATACACACCACATTCAGTCCTGCATCATTGTCAGTGGACTAGGTAGGGCGTGGGCAGGCCAAGGGGGGGGGAGGTGGGGTAGACCTTGTGCTTTGTCAGGGCCCCCAAAATTTCTGATGGCGGCTCTGGAGGGCACTGCACTTGAACTTATGACTTGCTTCTCTGACCTCTGTGCTTCCTATTCTATTACTGATCATCAGTTTGGGTTCTTTTTCATTTTATTAAAAGAAAGAACAGGAAAATAACAGAAATGCTTATATAGATTTACGAAACAGTTTGGGAATCAAATATCTAATCAATACAAAATGTTCTAATGTTTTCAGGCAAGGCTAAAAGAAGTCTACATGAAGAGGTGATTTTGTTTTACTGTTTATTTAGTGTAAGTAAGACACAATATAAGTTGGTCACTTCTACTGAGGGGGTAAAAGTTTTTCTTCCTGATTGCTATTTTTTTTAAATCTTATTACCGGGGTTTTTACAGTCTGAAGAGCTCATAGCGGAGTAAAAAACCAGAATCCTGAAATCTGTTATCAAACAAATGCTGTTAGCTTTAAAAATATTAACATTAAATATAAAGCACAGTTTTTAATGCATTTTCCTACGTGACACATTTTATTTACAGATAAGGTGACAGGCTATTCTTTCTGGCTTACAATTTGGCCTTTTCTCCTCCCAAGCTAACATTTTGCGCACTCACTTCATAATGTTCTTGATAACGCCCACAGCAACGTCATCTAGAATGTGTTTTCCGATTCTGCTTGGATTTAGCAAACTGTCAGGCATTCCTAAAGTCAGTCTGCTTTCTTGGCGCAGAGGCGTCTCTACCCGCGATGCTGCTGCTATAGGGCCTTGTAAGAGAGTTTCAGAAATAACAGACCTTGGCTCCTACGTAGGAAAAGGAAAGGGGATTCTTATCAGAAAATATAAATTATATTATACATTGACTTCCTCCTAAATACTCTCACTAATAATAATTTATGAAATGCCATCATATTCTGAAGGTTGAGGCCGTGGAACCATGTTACATACCAATAAAAGTAAATTACATTTTAAAGGTTATCTTAAAACACCAGCACAACTTTGTATAATTGAAAAGGTGAAAACATACAGAGTATCTTCACCAACTTTCAGCTCTGAAAATATTTTAGAGTTCTAGGCTGTCGGTGTTATTTTAACCAACTTGAGTGTGCGGAATGTGCTGATTGCACGCACAACATGGACTGTGCTCTTGGTCAAACAGTGTCTCTGCTAAAAGATGTACATATCTCAGATCACAAAGCAGCGAACCGGGCTATGGGTATACTGACACATTATGGGTGCCATCAGGTTACAGAGCTGTTGCACTTATCCTAAGGGATGAGTAGGATTGCTCTTGGGGATGGATAGATGCTGTGATTAATGGATTTATAAACATAGCAAGCCCAGCTCCCCACAGTTCCATACCAAAAGACATGATAGATATAAGCCTCTTTTCTTCATTTCATCCATTACGGTTTTAGCAAACATATACAGCGCTTCACTGGTTACTGCCTGTGAAAAATAGCAATAGTGTGGTTTATATATATGTAGCTTGATACAGAATACATACTTATTTAGTATTGTAATTATATTCTACAAATAGGACTTGGTATGGAATTTGTTATTTTAAGGCCAAAATAAGAAAACATTACAATTCTGCAATTTCAGCTTAGATATTTTGACCTACAAATGCAATCCTTAGTCTAGGAAAAAAAGTACACAGAATATATTCATCCAGGTTTTGGACACAAGCTAGATAAGATATGGTTCTTGTTTAAAGAAATATTTATTGCTCTTTAAATGGCTGTAGTTATTAATTTGTAGCTCAATATACACATAAAGAAGAAATTAAATATATTGGTCGAAATATTGTCAAAATATAACAACCCATGACTCTTTGGTTCACCTGTCTATAAGACAATATTGTATGGAGATTATATAAACTTTTACTAAAGTTTAAGGCACTTTTATAACTGGGGCAGAAACACCTCCCTGGCTGTGAATCAGACAGTCAGGCAAATTTTCTTCCACTTCGTTAACACCACAGTACTAACAGAAGCAAAAGGCGCACTGTGCTAAAACTTGTCTGTCCTCGCCCCTTCTTAATGAGCTGTACTACACTGAAATCTGAAATCACTTGCATGAGCGTGTTCACCACTCCAGCACATAGACTTCCCAATGAGAAGCCTCAGATTGGTGTATTTCCTGGCACAGACTAAAAATTTGTGACTGGGAAAGAAGGTAGGGCTTGCAGCTTTTGCAAGCAGTTTTTTTTTCAGATACACCCAAGGAAACCTACAGGGGAAAAAAAACATGCTTGTTTTCTTTGGGGGTATATCTACTAAACTGTAAAAAAAAAATCAATAAAAAGTTTCTTTAATTAGAAGAAAGTTAGTGATAACTTGCAGGCTGTATGGTGACAGCATACGATATATATATAGTATATAATACAATCATCATAAAAATGAAATGTCTTGCCATATGGGCAGCAACAAGTGGGACTCATCCAGTTAAAATGATTGACAAGGAATCATGCAGGTTCAACACTGCAAAAAGAATGTTATGTATCTAAAAAACTAAAATATATTTTAAAAAAAGGAAAAAAAAAACATTTTGCAGAATTGTTCTAGAGAGAGAATCAAAAGATACTTTAATATTTTAGCAAAACATTAATACACTTTGTTTTCAAAAATTAGACTTTACCTCTTTATCCAAATTTGGATGTGCGCAGGCATCCGTTTTCTTCTCAAGTTGGTCGAGGTAAGAATTGATCTGCTGAATTTGCAAATTGCTGTTAACAACCTGTAAAATAATAGAGAAAGAGCATTTAGGTTTCTGGTTTGCAGTTGAAATCTCAAGTGTACCACAAATGCTCATTTGTGTTAAAGCAGACATAGCATAACAAAACGATTTATCGTTGCAAAAATTAATGATCACACAACCATTAATAATATATTAGTATTTTTCTAATTAGTTCAGGGATTTAAATATTATGATAGGAGTCATCCAGACCCTAAAAAACGAATGTATAACTATTTCAGGGTTATTAGGTAAAGTGAGAATTGCTGGAAATTCATTGTGAATTCAAAATGAATTAATATTTTAGCTCCGAATTGTCAAATTGGAAAAATAATTCCAAGTCAGACATGACTTCTGGTTGCTTACTCTCTAAAAGTTTAAATCAATTTGAATTCACACAATTCTCACGTTAAAGCTAATTACATCTGTTGGCAGCGTGCAGTGCGTGCTGATGTTGGACA